CGCGTCTATAACTTCGAGTGGATTCGTAATGAAATGACTCTATATTTGCTGATTATTTCTTCCACCACTTGTGGAATAATATCAGTACGGTTTTTTGCATGTAGTTTTGCTTTCTCAATATGAATAATCGTAACGCATTAGCACGCCAATGAATTGTGTTTGTTCTTTAAAAGATTTACTTTATTCAAATTTGTTTTAGCAGGATAGTCAGAAAATGATCGATAGTGTGTGTTACCAATAATCTGACTATCCTGCTAAAACAAATTTGAATAAAGTAAATCTTTTAAAGAACAAACACAATTCATTGGCGTGCTAATGCGTTACGATTATTCATATTGAGAAAGCAAAACTACATGCAAAAANATACGCATCACTCAGCTATACAAGTTTGAAATCTTGTCTTATCAAAAGAAGTGTGTATTAGAATTCTAACTGACGTGAGTAATTTGAGTTGATTATTGTTTTCGTTTATCTGGACTTTAAATGCAACTATTAAATCATAGTTTTTAAATTGAATAATAAATAAACTATTATCATAATTGGTATGGACAGGAGAATTATTTTCTTTTTCATTTGTGCAATTTCAAATAAAACTAATTGTTGTGTTACGGTTCCAGCACTAAAAACCATTTTCGATTATTGGACGTGATCAGCAAAAGATTAAAAAAATTTCTTTTTCACTTAAAACTATTGTCTACATTAGAGAATAACAGAAAATTACACTGCATATATAATGTTTTACTGACATAAAAGTAAACGCTGATACACTAATCAACTCAAATTACTCACGTCAGTTAGAATTTTAATACACACTTCTTTTGACGAGAAAAGATTTCAAACTTGTACAGCTGAGTGATGCGTATTACCAACTTCTGATCTGACATTCCCCTCTTTAGGCCTAATTTAATTTAAGCTACTGAAGTAATTATTTATGTCGATGATACCTCAGTTCCAATCTGAAATGGATTGAGAGATTGATTTTTTAATTTTAAAGGCTTGTTTTGAAACGCGTTCAAACATTTATATCTTTAGACTGTTTCAATATTTTTTGGAGTTTGGAATTTCGTCCCGAGATATAAACTTTAGAATGACGCAAGATAAAAGCAGCATTTATTCTTCTTTTAACATTAGTCAATCATATAATTAAGACAAAGAAAATCAGTGTCACTCCAATGTTGTCTTATGCAAAAGTCATGGGTTGGCTTTCTTCGACTGAAATATTTGATCTTCAGCGATCTAAACATATTAGAGAAGTATTTTATGATTACTGTTCGATGATATCTATCAATGTACTGACATGAATGTTGATGGACATGCCTCGATCCAAATGTGGTTCCGTATGACAATGGAAAAGCCAAACACCAGGATTCGTCGCTCGAAAACGTATTCTCATATATCTGCATTAAAAAAAAATAAAAAATCTCTTCTCACTAATTGTCGGTTCTTGATTCAACATAAATCTTACCCCCCTTTGGGCAACTGCAGTGTATCCTTCACCAAACGCATATTATTTTTCTTGCATGCACTGTTTGCTTTTGTGTATGAACATTGAGCATGTTCATTACAGTAAACATTCAGATTGTTAGCTTTGATTTGACCAGTTGTTGAATTCAATTGAGCTAGACCGAGTTCAACAATATGAAAGTAGGAACCATGTAAATGGAGAGGATGTTGATCATCATCATGATTGACAAGTAGTAATTCTACAATATCGTTATATTGAGCCACTATTGTATGGTAGCATTTTTCACCGGTATCATCTTCCAATAAACGATTGGAACACTCAAAGTTTTTTCGAATACGCCGAGGATCGTAGAGAATCGGTTTGTCGATTGACGGATATTTCATACCAATGTAATTGAATGATTCGAAACCAGCCCGTTTATTAGTACCTTTAACAATGGTCAACTGGAGTGTCTTGCGGACTTCAGGTATTATTGTTTCATCCAGAAGATCATGATCAACATGATCTGCACGTGTGGTTAAATTTAGAGGAGTCAAACAAATCATAGACATAGCGCTGTTTTCAGTGTTCGGACCGTATTGAGTGAACGGGCAATTTAAAATGACACATGGTTTACTCGAAGTACACTTTCGTGGTTTGGATGTTGGCATGATCGTATCAGTTGTATATTGTAAGATTGCTCGAGCATGCCATCTTGAATTATTGTTTTTATCCATTGTATCAACTCGAATCCAGTAATTGATTGCTCTGGTTTTTGCAGCTGTAATTAAAACATCGTATCGTTCGCCAAGACCAATAATCACTTGATCGACAATCATCGGTTCTGCAAGTGGTATGCCATCCGACGCGATCACTTTCAATGGATGATCATCGATAGAGAATTTTAGTGGGAATACACTACCACCATTGATCAGACGTAGACGGTAAACAGCGTTGTTGGGTGCCGAAACTACTCTCAGGTATTCTAATGGCGTCGTGCTCGATCTGTCATTTTCTGCACGCGGATCAAAATATTGACCACGTCCATTAATGAGAATCGAAGTGACAAGTGCTTCAGCTGCTCGTGATCCATCAACAGCTTCATAAAAATCAATGGTACCCGACGTTTTCAACGATTCCAAACTATTCGGATAGAATTGACCACTCTCGATGAGCAAGTGATGCTGTTCATTAGTGTAAAAGTGTTGCCAATCAGTGAGAACCATTACGAATTCACCATGTTCTTCTCGATTGATCACTTCTTGTGGATGCACAACAAAACCACCTAATAGCCCCATAGCTATTTGAGATTGAGAGTGTGAATGATACCAGAAAGTACCAGTATCCAGTGCAACAAACTCATGTTGGAAACTAGAACCCGGTAGGATAGATAGCTGAGTGACTCGTCCAACTCCATCACTCTCTGGCGTATTTACTTGTCGAATACCGTGAAAATGAACGCTAAGTGATTCTGTTGGAAAATCATTGTAGATACGTATGCGTACTATTTGGTTCTGATACACATGTAGAACAGGACCCGGTAGAGAATCATTGAAAACATACACCTAGGTAAACGAGCGAAAACCATGTCAAGCATAACATTGCAAAAACCAAATTAAACGAACATACAAGTTTTGGGTAGCCATCAGCCGTTATTATTTCACTCATGGGAAATGTTTGACTGGAATCTTCATAATGATGTAATGTACCATTATCAGTGGCAACGACTCGAAAGAGATTTTTATAGAACATGGTCATAGTACCAGTAGCATGTAGTTCGAAGAAACAGATCGACATCGATGCCGTACAAGAGCCATCGTGTCTGTATGGATCGAATGGTTCTAATGTATGAGTTCTCTGACAGATTATTACTAAAATGACTATAATATTCGACAACCAAGCCATAACCATCTAGAGAAGGACTTGACAGAAGAGAACAACAAAATAATTCCTAGTTTTCAATAAGCTAATAAGACAGCGCATGATAACAATCACGGCTCGTCATGAAAGATATTCTGTCTGATGCATAGCGCCTACTCATATAAAGTAAACCACTGAGTAAAGTTTACATGTGTTTGTCACGAGCACAACTATTCAAATTTGTTTCGTACACACTGATCAGGAAGTCAGAAGAAAAACTTCGACCATCAAATCTTATCCAATCTTCCCGAATCTGGAACAGGATTGCTTCGAAATCAATCGGTTTTCGGCTCAATGTCAATTTCTTACAAAATAAACGCCAAAAAAGATTACAATTAGTTGCATTTTCATAAAACTAATTTTAGACACAAACTTTAAAATGCAACAGAAAAAACCTAACTAGCACATTTTGTGTATTTATATTAACCATACTTAGTGTCCTTTCAATCATGAGCTCACAGTTAGTCTGATCTGGTATGAAAAAAAAAATTTTGAACACATATTCGAAAAGAGTTCACAGTTCTGATTCTAACTAAGAATACTTAAAGACATCCAAATAACGAAAAAATCAATTTTGCGAAAACTTTTGCAACTGAAATGGCCTATGTTCCTATCCCTACTCATAACTATACCTTCCCATACATCTTTATTCTTATCTGCACAGTATATATATATATAACCTCGTACGCATAATCCTATATCTTCATGCATACGTCATTGCATACACTCCTAAATCTAATATCTCTACCCTGATATTTCCATTCCTGTGTCTAATCCTCATGTCTAAATTCTGGGCGTGGAAGCTGGAGAGAAGGTTTAAAAAAGAAATTTGCATTGCACTGACCGACACTCCCATTCGACAATAGGAAACATTTCTAATAATTATAGATTTGACCATATCATACTAGTCAATCAATTGCAGCTGCAAAATAATGTCTATGTTTATCAACAAATCTTGTTCACTGGTTCTAATCCTTAAACTTTATTCTTGATATTTGTCATCAAACATTTAGAATCAATACTACCATCTTAATTCAAAATCAAACAGTTAACTTTTTTCATTATTAACTTGAGTTTTTCTAAAGCAATTCATTTGTTGATCGAAATATTCTTGTCTATATATTTATTATTTGATTCCACCAAAAAAGAAAAACCGAAACCACTAACTAGACAGGAAAAGAGTAAGTTGAATTACACAATGAAAAAAAAATAATCATCACAGTGCACGCACACACATACATATATGCTGTTTTTGCTTAGTGGTTGCAATAACGGTCTTTACTCATATCTTTTAATATATGTCAGCGATAAGAAACAAAGAAAGGAGAACAGACATTCACCGAGAAAAGGCAGAGAAGAACGCCAAGTGTTTTTTTTTATTCGAAGGTAGACGAATGTGCTAAAACCCTTTTGTGCTGATATTGATAATGCCAGGTGGTACTCCTGTGACAAATTACTACAAGATAATTTGTTTGACGTTATAAACCCTTATTAATGACTTCATCATAACATAGATTTCTATCTTTGGATAAGGATCATCATCAAGAAGAACTTTTATTTAGTGTCCATATACTAGGAAAGGTTGTTTCAGATATGCATGAGCCTTGAGTACGGTTCTACTTTAAAAAAAATGTTTTCAAGCTCCACATGGTTCTTTGCCTTTGCAACCATATCCAGCTTGTCCATCGCAGGCATAAACAACAAATGTTGATACTGCATATTGCCAATCGTACCCACCACCATTTGCAGTAATTGCATATGTGCAACAACCGTAATCAACAAACGACATATCAACTTGTTGTGGTTTTTGCCAATTTTTTCGATCAAAAACGATTGTATTGAATTCAGCACATCGCGTACCATTGTAATACCAATTTGGTTTAACTTTAAACTCAACTCTAACTTGATCACCAAGTGCATGAACTGGTGGTGTCTGTAATTGTAATTTAAAATGATCTTGACCATCTGGAGTAACGACAAATCCATGCATGGGCTCTATATTGAAGCCTAAAAATAGCATCACATGTAAATGCTGATAAATAGCGGAGAACTGTACTTTACCTGTGTTTGCATTGCCACAATAGGAAGGCCATTGATCAGGTAGATCGAATAAATGTTCAGCTTCTGATGGAATACCATGTGTAAATGACAGATATACTGTATTTACGTATCTATGTACAAGCANGTATTAGAATTCTAACTGACGTGAGTAATTTGAGTTGATTATTGTTTTCGTTTATCTGGACTTTAAATGCAACTATTAAATCATAGTTTTTAAATTGAATAATAAATAAACTATTATCATAATTGGTATGGACAGGAGAATTATTTTCTTTTTCATTTGTGCAATTTCAAATAAAACTAATTGTTGTGTTACGGTTCCAGGACTAAAAACCATTTTCAATTATTGGTCGTGATCAGCAAAAGATAAAAAAATTTCTTTTTCACTTAAAACTATTGTCTACATTAGAGAATAACAGAAAATTACACTGCATATATAATGTTTTACTGACATAAAAGTAAACGCTGATACAATAATCAACTCAAATTACTCACGTCAGTTAGAATTCTAATACACACTTCTTTTGATAAGACAAGATTTCAAACTTGTATAGCTGAGTGATGCGTATTACCAACTTCTGATCTGACATTCCCCTCTTTAGGCCTAATTTAATTTAAGTTACTGAAGTAATTATTTATGTCGATGATACCTCAGTTTCAATCTGAAATGGATTGAGAGGTTGATTTTTTAATTTTAAAAGCTTGTTTTGAAACGCGTTCAACCATTTATATCTTTAGACTGTTTCAATATTTTTGGAGTTTGGAATTTAATCCCGAGATATAAACTTTAGAATGACGCAAGATAAAAGCAGCATTTATTCTTCTTTTAACATTAGTCAATCATATAATTAAGACAAAGAAAATCAGTGTCACTCCAATGTTGTCATATGCAAAAGTCATGGGTTGGCTTTCTTCGACTGAAATATTTGATCTTCGGCGATCTAAGCATATTAGAGAAGTATTTTATGATTACTGTTCGATGATATCTATCAATGTACTGACATGAATGTTGATGGACATGCCTCGATCCAAATGTGGTTCCGTATGACAATGAAAAAGCCAAACACCAGGATTCGTTGCTCGAAAACGTACTCTCATATATCTACATTAAAAACATAAAAAAATCTCTTCTCACTAATTTTCGGTTCTTGATTCAACATGAATCTTACCCCCCTTTGGGCAACTGCAGTGTATCCTTCACCAAACGAATATTATTTTTCTTGCATGCGCCGTTTGCTTTTGTGCATGAACATTGAGCATGTTGATTACAGTAAACATTCGGATTGTTAGCTTTGATTCGACCAGTTGTTAAATTCAATTGAGCTAGACCGAGTTCAACAATATGAAAGTAAGAACCATGTAAATGAAGAGGATGTTGATCGTCATCATGATTGACAAGTAGTAATTCTACAATATCGTTATATTGAGCCATTATTGTATGGTAGCATTTTTCACCGGTATCATCGTCCAATAAACGATTGGAACACTGAAAGTTTTTTCGAATACGCCGAGCATTGTAGAGAATCGGTTTGTCGATTGACGGATATTTCATACCAATGTAATTGAATGATTCAAAACCAGCCCGTTTATTGGTACCTTTAACGATGGTCAACTGGAGTGTCTTGCGGACTTCAGGTATTATTGTTTCATCCAGAAGATCATGATCAATATGATCTGCACGTGTGGTTAAATTTAGAGGAGTCAAACAAATCATAGGCATAGCGCTGTTTTCAGTGTTCGGACCGTATTGAGTGAAAGGACAATTTAAAATGACACATGGTTTACTCGAAGTACACTTCCGTGGTTTGGATGTCGGCATGATCGTATCAGTCGTATATTGCAAGATTGCTCGAGCATGCCATCTTGGATTATTGTTTTTGTCCATTGTATCAACTCGAATCCAGTAATTGATTGCTCTCTTCTTTGTAGCTGTAACTAAAACATCGTATCGTTCTCCAAGACCAACAGTCACTTGGTCAACTATCATCGGTTCTGCAAGTGGTATGCCATCCGATGCGATCACTTTCAATGGATGATCATCGATAGAGAATTTTAGTGGGAATACACTACCACCATTGATCAGACGTATACGATAAACAGCGTTGTTGGGTGCCGAAACTACTCTCAGATATTCTAATGGTGTCGTGCTCGATCTGTCATTTTCTGCACGTGGATCAAAATATTGACCACGTCCATTAATGAGAATCGAGGTGACAATTGCTTCAGCTGCTCGTGATCCATCAACAGCTTCATAAAAATCAATGGTACCCGATGTTTTCAATGATTCCAAACTATTCGGATAGAATTGACCACTCTCGATGAGCAAGTGATGCTGTTCACTAGTGTAAAAGTGTTGCCAATCAGTGAGAACCATTACGAATTCACCATGTTCTTCTCGATTGGTCACTTCTTGTGGATGCACAACAAAACCACCTAATAGCCCCATAGCTATTTGAGATTGAGAGTGTGAATGATACCAGAAAGTACCAGTATCCAGTGCAACAAACTCGTGTTGGAAGCTAGAACCCGGCAAGATGGATAGTTGAGTGACTCGTCCAACTCCATCACTCTCTGGTGTATTCACTTGTCGAATACCGTGAAAATGAACACTAAGCGATTCTGTTGGAAAATCATTGTAGATACGTATGCGCACTATTTGATTTTGATACACGTGTAGAACAGGACCCGGTAGAGAATCATTGAAAACATATACCTAGGTAAACGAGCGAAAACCATGTCTGGAATAACATTGCGAAAACCAAATTAAACGAACATACAAGTTTTGGGTAACCATCAGCCGTTATAATCTCACTCATGGAAAATGTTCGACTAGAATCTTCATAATGATGTAATGTACCATTATCAGTGGCAACGACTCGAAAGAGATTTTTATAGAACATTGTCATAGCTCCAGTAGCATGTAGTTCGAAGAAACAGATCGACATCGATGCCGTACAAGAGCCATCGTGTCTGTATGGATCGAATGGTTCTAATGTATGACTTCTCTGACAGATTATTACTAAAATTACTATAATATTCGACAACCAAGCCATAATCATCTAGAGAAGGACTTAACAGAAGAGAACAACAAAATAATTCCTAGTTGTCAATAAACTAATAAGACAACGCGTGACAATAATCACGGCTCGTCAGGAAAGATATTCTGTCTGATGCATAGCGCCTACTCATATAAAGTAAACCACTGAGCAAAGTTTAGATGTGTTTGTCACGAGCACAACTATTCAAATTTGTTTCGTACACGCTGATGAGGAAGTCAGAAGAAAAACTCCGACCATCAAATCTTGTCCAGTCTCCCCGAATCTAAAACAGGATTGCTTCGAAATCAGTCGGTTCTCGGCTCAATGTCAATTTCTTACAAAATCAACGTCAAAAAAGATTACAATTAGTTGCATTTTCTTAAAACTAATTTTAGATACAAACAACTTTGCCAAATGCTAGCTATTTCAAAATCCAGTCTTTAATATGCAACAGAAAAAAACTAACTAGCACATTTTGTGTATTTATATTAACTATACTTAGTGTCCTTTCAATCAGGAGCTCACAATTAGTCTGATCTTGTATCAAAAAAAACTTCTGAACACATATTCGAAAAGAGTTCACAGTTCTGATTCTAACTAAGAATTTTTAAAAATATCCGAACAGCGAAAGAAAAATTTTGTGGAAACTTTTGTAACAGACATGGCCTATGTTCCTATCCCTAAACAAAACTATACCTTACCCATACATCTTTATTCTCTTCTACACAATATATATATATAACCTCGTACGCATAATCCTATATCTTCATGCATACATCATCGTATACACTCGTAAATCTAATACCTCTGCCCTGATATTTCCATTCCTGTGTCTAATCCTCATGTCTAAATTCTGGGTGTGAAAGCCGAAGAGAAGGTTTAAAAAAGAAATTTGCATTGCATCGACCGACTCCCATTCGAGAATAGGAAACATTTCTAATAATTATAGATTTGACCATATCGCACTAGTCAATCAATTACAGCTGCAAAATAATGTTTATGTTTATCAACAAATCTTGTTAACTGGTTCTAATCCTTAAACTTTATTCTTGATATTTGTCACCAAATATTTAGAATCAATACTGTCATCTTAATTCAAAATCAAACAGTTAACTTTTTTCATTGTTGACTTGAGTTTTTCTAAAGCAATTTATTTGTTGATCGAAATATTCTTGTCTATATATTTATTATTTGATTCCACCAAAAGAAAAATCGGAATCATTAACTGGACAGGAAAAGACTAAGCCGAATTACACAATGAGAAAAAAAATAATCGTCACCGTGCACACACATACACACACGAAAAAAATAATTTCAATTTAACTATCTGCACCGAGAAAAAAGCTTATTTATCAAAATAAAGACCTTGAATGTAAAGAACAACAAGAAAATAAATGTCATACAAAAAATGTGCATTGAATTACATAAATGTTTCTAAGCCCGCCCAGGATCTACCAAGTATATCGACATCAGTTGCTTGATCAATAATACAATCAATTTGTTCATCAACTGTTAATTTATGATAACGATTTGATTCATATTGCATTAGAATTTGTGCACGTTTATTTTGTGTTTGATCACCACCAACTACTTTTTCCATTTGACGAAGTGCTTCTTTCAAACTTGATGGACGAAGAAAATTATTTAATTTAAGATCAGAACTAAAATGAAAATAGATCAATAAATTAGGCTTTACCTTATTCTTTTTCATACATACCCAGTAATAACTGCTGGATTAATCCCATTGAGTTTCAATCGTGCACTTTTTATTCGATCTTTAGCATATGTATCATCAGAACGAATCGTATTTGATTCTGAAAAAAACACAAAGAAAATAAAAATATATAAGATCTCTTTTGTATTTTTCATATTCATTAAAATATACCACTTTGTGAAACTTGTTTACTTGTTTTAAGTGCATGTTCCTATCAATGAATTATAATAAAAAAAAAATAATAAAATAAAACAATAAAAACATTTACCATCCATTCCATAAGTGGTTCTTTAATAAAAACATCCATTGTACTAAGTAATAAATCAGAATTTTCACGTAAAGCATTCATTGTATGAATCATTGTTGCACGAAATAGACCATTTGTACCAATTGGTGACATTAATTGAATAAGTTGTCGTGTTAAACGAATTGGAATAAGTTCAGGAACAGGTAAATGCTAAAAGATAAATTTATAATTTTGTTTTCTAGAAATTTAGCTTAATTCTTACGACAGTAGCAGCGTTGAATGCTGAACCAAAATCAATACCAATAACTTGTCCTGACGATGTATCAATGAGAAAACTAAATAAATGATTATATGCTAAAAATCTATATTCTATACATTGAACATACTTTGATTGATGTCGATCACCAATACCAAGAATATAATGACTTGTACATAAAACAGCATAACTTGTAATAAATTGTTTACGTAATGTATAAAATCCTTCATGTGAATTAGCCATTTTATAATAAGCACGTCGAAGTAGATCATTAGGTATAACAGATTGAATTTTATTAAATTCATCTTGTACTTGTGTTTTTGTTAAACTAATAAATAATTCAGCATACATAATTGTATTACTAGTTGATTTAGCTGTTGGTTTAGATTTTTGAAATACATTAGTAACATAATCTTGATAAAGTTTTCTTGGATGTTGACCTTGTGAAATAATATCATGTTCAGCTTGTGTATAATTTACTTCAATAAGTTCTTTTAATGGACGTGTATTATCAAGCCATTCAATCATACCTAATTTTGTTGACATTGGAATAACTAAATAAAAATAATTATGTTTTTTTTTCTTAAACCTAAAAAATTTTCTATTCATGTATTACCTTTATGCGTT